TTACAGGGATGCGCATGGGACTTTGCAAGAGCTCTGTGGGTTTCCATTTCTTGGGGTTTAAAGGAAGCAATTGAAGCTTTGAGGCAGAGGCATCCTAACACAGGCCCTAAATTTCAGGGTCCTCATTCTAAGGACGCTTGGCTCCGAGTTTCAGAAACGCTGAGCAGAAAGCTGCGGTTTGGCTTAGTTTTCCAGGTGAGGCTTTCAGGCCTAAAGGCTTAAGGCTTAGAGTGTTCGGCATGCCCGGCTAGGCGCTCACACTTGCATCCGGAACTTTCCTATGTGCCCAAAGCCCGAAATACTGATGACAGCGGTGATGACAGCAGAGGCTGGTGGCGACGGTGGTGAGGGATTGTGGGATGACTGTAGCGGCTGGAAGCCTCGGTGTCAATTTCGCAGCGATAGTAGGAGTGCCACTGACGACAATGATTGCAACGAGGACTTCTACTGTCAGAACCCCACGGTCTTTTCTTTCGGAATCCGCCTCCGAGAGTAGCCGTCGCTGCTCCTGCAAGGCGCTTCTCCCAGAGCCCTAGAATACACATGACAATTGGTTCGCCAGCGACATGACCACTTTAATTAGAGCGACTTTGCTTTGTTTGCTCTTGGGTGTATGTGGACTGCCTCGTTTCCTGCAGTTGCCCTCCTTGATGGGGGACGGTACCACACTTTCGTCGGCACTGTCCCATCGCACAGAAGTCGCACTGTGAAGTTCTGCCACATCGCAGGAGATGGCCTTTCCATTGGCCCTGGCTGGAGGTGGCCCTGGGAACATGGCAGTAGCGAGAGTCTTTGCTCCGTGCCGGCGTCCCTTGTTTAGTACTTTTTTGACAGATTATGTCGGCAACCGCTTCTGGGTCTGTGAAGTGGGCTGTCTTGCCAGGTCTTGTGGGGGCGGGCCCATGGAGATTCACGTGGTGCCGGTCGCTTGCTCCGCCTTGTGTGGGGCCACATGACGTTTTCGGAGCCCTGCGCCCCGTTTGCGTCTTAACCCTTCACAGAGTGGAGATTGGGCTGGTGCCCTTCCTAATTCTGCCAAGGGACTTCCTCACTCACTCCTGCCGCAGGTCCTGGTATGACCTTCGCATTCCCTTTGTGCCATCTCGCTCCCTTCGGCTGGCTGTGCTGTACAGTAGAAGTGTAGTTTGTTGCCACAAGAAAAGCTTGCATGCAGCATTCCCCGAGCAGCTTTCTACTCGAAGCGCAGAAGCTGCTCGAAATGCTGTACATCGATGCCCTCAGCCACACTGCCTACAAACGTGACGTCACGAAAACCCCTAATGCCACGGTGGGTCGCGGGTCACGCGCTAGACGGACACACACCCCTGAACCGATCACTCGGTCCTATAAAGACCGCTGCGCCCCTTCAATTTTAAAACAAAAACCTGATGCCTCTCGGGCATGATGCGCTGAATCCTCCACGGCGCGAAGCCTTAGAAGACACGGGTTTGAGGCTGGGGTCGAGGATCCAAGGTCTTGGGTCTTTGGGTCAAAAACTCAGCAAGAGCCAAGGCAACAGTAAAATAATTTTGTTTTCAAAAACCTGCGGAGAGCTGGTACTAGGGGACATCTACTTCATGCTAGTTGCAAGCTACAGTGGATGCTGTGCTACAGTTTCACCTGTTAAAAGTGCTCCGACAAGCACTGTTTCACGTCAGCCACAACACTGAGAACAAACATGGGTTTTTTGCCTCCTGCATAACAGTTTGTTAAGGAAAATGATTTTGCAAATGACCAACAGGATACGAGCAATACTATACAACACGAACTGTCGTGACAATGCTTCTGTCAATGCACGGACACGCAATCATTGTCAATGGTCAGCGGCAGTCATCAGTTTTCTGCAGAGAAGGACATTGCAGAAAAGGACATTGTAAAGGCCTGCATTTTGCGGGTTTAGTCAAAGTAGCTGTTCCATATTACATTATGATCATATACGACTACGACTTTCAATCAAGCACTAACAGTATAACAACATTCATACGAAAATCGGTGATCGACATACCCATGTAGCGAAATGGACTTGAAGGTGCTCTTTTTTTGAACCTTGCGCCATAAGTCAGCAATCAGACATCGCTGCACAAATCGTCTCAAACTCTGCAAACGGTCTCTCCCTCTCTTTCTCTCATTCCGTCTCCCCTCCTGGCCTCCGCCCTGCCCTTAGAGAGTCTTGTGGCGGTGGTTGGAGTTCGTCCAAGCTTCCGAGTGGTGGCAGGAAGAAATGAGGATGAAGGTCTAGGAGCGGAAGCTGGCTTCGGCGGTATGAATGGCGGTATGAATTTCGGGCCTGCATCGCCTCAGACACATCAGGGGCCTAAGGGGAACTGAGTGTGTAGAGTGTACGCTGTGCCCGCATCGCTGGGGTGCTGTTGAAGCTTAGACTTGACAAGAATGCAGTCCACTCTGCAGAAGTACTCGTCTAGGTTTAGCCAGCCCCCCTGGCATGGGAAGCATAGCATCGGTTTGCTTGACTCAAACTGCGACAGGTCAGGTGCAAAACACATTTTTGCTTAACTATCTCGTCAAATCCTCGCCAACCTTCGGGGTCTCGGCCTTCTCGAAGTTCAGGAGCGAAGGTCTACTTTTACTGCAAGGTACACAAGTTTTGCGGGCATCCAAACCTGCAGCTTGCTCGCTATCAACATTAGCAACACGTGGGATCTTGACAGAAGGCCGCTTCAGGCAGACTCTGCTCTTTTTCATCTTCCGCGTGATGGAATGCAATTTCATGCGCCAGGCAGAATCATTAAGAGAGCGAGATCGGCTGAACCTACACATCACGTAACTGCTTCAGCGGAACAGCTACCTGATGCCAACGATCCATGCCCCGAGCAGTCAACAACTAGCTGAGTTTCGCAACACAACCGGCTTACAGTGACCTGCACGTTCCAGGAATAGGTTATCTAGCAACAAACAACTAATCACCATGGGTGATGACATACTACCGTGCATTGTGTTGACGCCAGCTGTTGAACAGAAAAAACAGACACAGCTTAAGTCTGGGTAAATGGGTAGGTATGCCGCGTTTAGCTCCTGCTTCTGAATGCTTGCATTGCCGGATCTCTGCTGTTCATACAGATGGAGCGACGGGATCCTCTTCCACAGCTGACAAGGGCCTTGGAGTTCAGGATTTATTCCCTGGGGCATGGCGCTGGCGACACTTTTTGCACACCAGCTCGGGGACAGACGATAGCAGAAACTCTAGTCGCAGGAGTTCAGCTTGGGGCAATAGCAGTTACACGACTGCAGTGTGCTGCAGCCACTGGAGATGTATGTTTAGGGGTTAGTGATCAGTGTTTAAGGTCCGCACCCCGAGGGTGGGCCAGCTGCTCTCCGACCCTCTTGTGGCGTTGCTGTGTAGGTGGCTATCCTTTGAGTTTAGGGATCGTAAGGAAAACTTGCTTTGGACTGCTCCATCTCCGTGGACTTGTGATTCGGGCGAGGGCTCAGGCGGCGGATACCGTGGGGATTGTCAGCTTGTGGAAATCCTTGCCGCTCCATCACACAGCCCATTGGGCATAGCCTCTACAACAAACCGCGGCCCCTCTCCAGGGATGTGAGCTTATTGCTGAAAGGGTAGGGCATCGTGAGGCCCTGAACTCCATACCGACAGTCTCCCTCGCTTCCCAAAACTTGGCCTGAACGGAGACGACGAAACCCAAAGATAGCAGAAAAAACAAGGGAACTTGGACCGGAGGACCTCTGCCCTACTGTTTCATCTCGGAAAGGCCTCAGAACAGCTGGGGGCTCAACACTCGTCTTCGGCATTGTTGTACTAGGATTACTGGGGTGGTGACGGTCAGGGTTCAGCTCGTTTCAAGATATCTCTGCATATGATGTATTGTGATGTGTTTTTGGCATACAAGTACCCGAAAACGGGAGGCTCCCATCTAGCGTGTTGATTCTTTTTGATTCTGGGATGTGCACACTGACCCCAATACTTCAAAAGAGTCTAGCAGACGCAACCCAACAGGCTCCGTAGATACTAAAAACATATACCCAGCTCCAAGAAAGGCAAGATCCGACTGAAAACCCTGGGTTTTATTCATCCTTCCGATGTCTATGCAAAAAACCTTTAATCGCAAAATGCATCTATAATATTGCGCCTGAGCTCTGTTAGCCTAGCTACTCCCGGATTTGGGACAACAAAACCCTCACGCCGAACACCCTCCCTCAGTCGGATCAACAGGGCTCCTGCGCATTTGGGCTTTCACAGGCTTGGTTGAGGACTGTTGGGGCTTTTGACGGCATCCCGGGCTAAAGCTGACTGGTATACGGATGATGTCTTGGGGGACGATTTCTCTAGCCCAAAACACCGGACTATTGGGTGGGGTGTCCGGATACTTAGTAGAAGCTTTAGCTTTGAGATTTGAAGGTTCAGGTCAACGCACCGACGGAATCAGGTTTGCAGCCGCAGGCTCGGACGGTGCTTGCATCGTTTTCACGATGAACCATAAACAGATGAGCTGCTGAAATACTGATCTATTCTCTGTGTCTAGCTATCTATCTATCTATCCATATATATATATATATATATATATATATGTGTGTGTGTAAATACACACACACAGAGAGAATCGAAATCGGACTTATTACTCTTTCGAGGTGCCTTCGGTACCGGACTCGGGGTGAGGGGTAGGCCAAATTATTGGGGCCCTTTTTGAAGCCCCGAGCTGTTGCTTACACTAGGTCTTCTGAAATAATCCCAATTAGTCAGGCGGCAAGCCGGAAAAACGATCACACATCTTGGGAGCACCCTGACAAAAGAAGCTGCCGCCAGGTTGTTGGGAGCTTCTGACCTACGGACGGAGTCATGTTGAACAGCATAGCCCTCGTTTCATCGAGAACCCTCCGAAGCTGCAAACCTGAAAAGGCCAACGTCAAGGCTGCAATCAAGATGTAAGATCTTGGGTTGATGTTGACAGGATTTGACAGGTGTGCAGGGCCCCCTGCAGACGCAACTTTGAGGGAGTTGTGGCTTGGCGTCCTTTGCCATCGGCTTATCGGCGCTTCTTCTTGCTTCCCGGCTTCGCGAAGGCCCAGCTCACATCCAACTTGTGGTCCAAGAGGCTGTTGCCGTCCATGGCCTGGAGAGCAGTCGAGGAGTCGTGCCTTTACGGCCCAGGTGCTACCGGCATAGCCTGTGAAACATGCCGCTTGGTGTTGTCATGCTAAGACGGAGAAAAACACCACGCTCGGTCACTTCGAAAGCTTCGCCTTGCTAAAGCATAGAAGACGAGTCCAAGGTGCAGACTACGAAGGAACAAGGAGTCTGTCTACTCACCGTAAGATCAGGATCCTTCACCCGTCCATGTGCGATTCCAATATGAAGCAGGCTACTGGCACAGCAAAAAAATTCACTGCTAGCCATCCGAAAAAGATACTACAATGGTGACATGGCTTACCTTGCTGAGAACCCTAGCGGCTTGGAGCAGTCCAGGCCAGAACGTTCTTTCGGCATGGGCAGAGCACGACAATTGCCTTGATGGCTGCGTCTGCTTCCTGCTTGTTCTCGTACTCAATGAAGGCGTAGCCCTTGACGAAGCCTCGAACACTCGAACCCTCAGCGAACATGCGATGTGGATGAGGCTCGAAACCCAAGGCCCATTCGTACACCTGCAACTCCCGAAACCTGTCCAACTCGGGGCTTCTCCTCGGAGGAGTTCGGTATTGTGCTACGCTTCTCCAATACATATACACATATACATAGACATAGTCTTTGCAAACATGAGGATGGTAGTAGCGATGACGACCGTCATCGTCGCGTAAACTGAAAGCCGCATCGAGCATGGCTACGAGAACAGCAATGTCAAACGCGCTTGTACGCCACGTTAAGTGAAAGGTACTTCTATGAAACAGAATTCGGAATCACACAATCCACAGAAACATGCAGGTACTGCTGGCCACGATGGCCAGCAGCATCAACTAAACAACGGAAACCAATTTCTAGGTTGTGGGTTCACGGTTCACAATCATCACAAGTCCTACCTCCCAATCTCCCTTGACGGAAAACGCGCGCGCACATGCACGCGCGCACACACGCACAGTCACACCCGCAAAAAACCCACGCACATGCCCACTTTCACACGCACTCGTGCAGATAGATGACAAGAGCAAGAACAAAACTTCTGTCATATCTAATGTGCCGCAATTCGTGCTGATCTTCTTTCTGAGCTTGCCAGGTTTGGTTGGTGCATTCCAAAGTGTTCGAGAAGGAGCCACGAGGAGGCCAACTTTCGCCCTGGAGACAAGATTGGGTATGCAAACCAACGGCCCCAGAGGTCCAGAACCCCCATGCACCACCCACTAGGTCAGCTCAAGAAACCGGTCCGGCGATCCAAGTTGAGGTGCAAGTTCCTGGGCAAGGCTTAGGAAGCAATGCAACCAGCTTCCGGGCTCGGATCCCAGCTTCGTCTTAATGTTTGAAAGCTTGCGGGCTTCACATTACAACCTTGTAGGATTTGAACGCCTCTGAGCTTTCTCAACGGCACTCGGGAACTCAGAAGAATCTGCGGCCAGGTTGAAGGCAAGCTTGCATTTGTGCCTGAGCAAAGCGTTTTGCTGATCAAGCGGATTTCGAAAAGGATCGAAGCATTTGCAAACCGAGGTCTGCTTGTCAGCACGGGCACCTGCAAGCGACGCCTCCAGACCGTGCCCTCTGCGACCTTATGCCTACAACTCTCGTCCCGTTAGCCTGGGCCACGTGAACCCTGAGCTGAACCCTACATTGTACATGCACCGTTGCACCAAGCTTCTTGATGTCTCCGTACTCTGAAAAAGCTTCGAAGATGTCATCTTCCTGTGCCTCCTCGTGGACACCGGACACCTTGCTTTCGAATTTGACGTTGGGCTATGGGCATGCAGTTGCCAGGACTTGGGCTTTTAGGATTCGGGCTCGGGACTTCCAGGTTCGACTTCCAGCTCCGAGGCACTTCAGATGCTACGAGTCTCACACAGACAAAGCACGGTATGCTGCATGGACTTCGGGATCAATTTTGACGGGCGTTAGATGTCAGTGTATAGATTCAAGACCTTGGCAGGCGAGTAGATTTAGGTGGTGAGTTCCGATTACAACCTTCGGGGTGTCCAGTTCGAGTTCTGTGTATGGACTGGGTGCAACACAGAAGCGGTATGGGATGCTCGGCCGCAGTGTCCGAGTGTTCTGCTAGGTATCCACATGCACCCATGTACCATGCTGACAGTGATTTCATCGAAACCAGCTCGTGCATGTTGCCAAACTCCCCCTGTGCTCCAGCCTACCTGCTCAGCAGAAAAACTCCTAAACTGCAACTCTGTACAGCGGCCTGACCAACATGTTGAACCCTCCAATGTCATACTTTAGAGCAGATAATGATAAAATGCATGACATACCTGGAAGGCTAACCTCGTGCACGGCCTGCCGCAGCTCCTCAACCTGAAGCGTCAAAGAGCCGCCGAAGCGCAATAACGACCCAGCCCTCGATGGATCGTGCGGCTCCCGTCTCGTCATCGTCATCGTCCAGCCTCTCGAATTTCCCGGCCTTTCCTGCGTAGCGATCGTCCTCCTCAGGCTCGAGGCGGAGACTTAGGGTCGCTTAGGGTGCACAGGAAGTGATCCCGGTCCCGACTCAACCAACAGGATTTAGTGGCTCAGAACCATCTTCAAGAGCATGCTTGGAAAATGTTCCGGTCGACAAAGCAAGGGCTGGGACTACGGCTGCAGAACGAAAGCACAAACCGAAGATCTTCAACCTCGCAATTTCATGTCCCTGGCGCGCAAACTCATTCCGGCTGGTCTAGACCTCAACCTCGAACATCACCCCGTAGTCTTCACTTGTGTAGCCGTAGAGCAGCCGCAGGCCGCAAGCCCAAAGGCTTAAGGGCACTTAAGGGCACTTAAGGGGCTTAAGGCAGGAAGCTGGCAAGCCTCGTCTGAAAGCTTAGAACGGACAAAGCTAAAACCCTTGCAGATGTTCTGCTAAGCAAAGAACAGTGACAAAACGGCGAGCATACGGACACAGGACTTGTGTTAAGAAGAGTGCCCACTAGAATACTTCGACGAAGGTTTGGAGTGCAGAAGCCCTGCACCAGCCCTCCTCACCGCCACGGCCCTTCATCCGTCGTCCGGCAGGGCGACCTCCTTCCTCAGCCACCTCGTCCTTGGATTCGGTGAAGGCGAAGGCTTCCATTGTAGAACCACGGAGGCGACGAAGCGACGCGCTGGATTCTATGGTGCTGAGGATGCAGACTCTAGAGGCGCCTGCTTCAGTCCAGAGTCTGGGGTTGCGGGCACGAGCTCACGAGTCTCAAGTTATCGAATCCCTCACCCCAATTATCAGACAGAGGCGCTTCTCTTGTTTGCTTGCTTGCTTGCAGACGGGTATGAGGGCCGAAACCCCCTGGTCCGAAAGCCTACCCAAACTACGGTTCGCGTCTGTCAAGTCTGAGCGGCCCCTTCCGGGGTTGGGAGTGGCTCCGTTCCCCCGTCTGTGCCTGTCTACCCCTTCCCCCCAACGACCAAGCCTCCTAAACCATCACCTGGTAATACCTTTCAGGCTCCAGACGGGTCATCCGGCACTCCCCAGTTCGACTAAGCGGTCTGTGGCCCACGCACTCTCCTCCCTGAACAACAGCATCGGGAATCCCCACCACGCCTGCAACACACTACAACTTCGGCCGCTATGGACGACTGATCCCTTCCGTTACTGCCACAGCCGCATCAGGTGGCGCCACCCCCCGACTGCAACTCTACTGCGATTTTCGCAGTGGTCTGTACATAGCCCCTCCTGACCGGCCTCCCCACCAGATCCCGAACACAACCTTCCCACCCCCAGCCTGAACCCAACACTTGGCTTGGCCGCGCCCCGCGCTCCCCGCGCCTGCTCGGGCTACAGCTTACAGCAACGGCTCAGCATAGCATAACATACTGTGCAGACAGCTGCAAGGTGCAGTTATGTTTGGCCTCAGTGGGGTACTGTACACTGCATTGCCCCGGGCTTCCCGACTCCCCCTCATGGCTATGACCCCAGCCGTCTTGGTCTAGGGAGCTGGTTTGTGAAACTTCGCCTCCGTTCACCCCACTCAGGCGCTGGTCTACTGTATCAGTGGGGCTTCTGGTTGATCTCTCTTTTTTCTTTCGCCAGGGTTAGGGTGTAGGGGTTTGACCCCCTACACCGCGCGCATGTGCGCCCCCGACTGTTGCGGAGGTGGTTTGACGGAAATTTGCTGACCCCGGCTCTGTCTGTGCAAAAAGGACAGGCACTTCCCTCGGCGACTGCATTCTCTCTCTACCGGGCGTGAGGGGCGTGGCAGCGTCCGGGCCAATTTCCTCGTGTGCGTGCACACCCGCGTTTCGTGGGGCGTCCTTGGGTTTCTCGGGTAGGGCTCGGCCTTGCACACCAAATCCAAAGGGAAAAGTGGCCAGCGAATCCCTCCGGGGCAGTAAAACACGTTCACCCCACAAAATCAAGCGGGTCCAAACGCATGCTGGCGAGGAAATGCTTGCAATCTCGGCTTCTTTGAGCAGGATACACCGGAACTCCCCTAGATGGAATTGGACGAATTAAAGCCTGCTGCCCCTCGAATTCCCCAAAAGCACAAGAAGTGGAAGGAGTGTTGAAAAGAACCTAGGATTGGGGCTGTTGGCTCAAGTTGAATAAGGCTTACCCGGGAAGAGCCAACCGTGTGGCCCGTTTCAAGAGTTCACTCCCCCCACTGACTCGCAAACACTGAAGCTTAAATCATCGTGCATACTTTGGCGGATTGGGCAACGTTGTAGGACAAAGGAGTACATTACGTCCCCCCGAAAGTGAGGCACACAAGCTTAGTCTCATGGCCTGCCGCATACTGCAAAAATCCGAATTTTACAAGGTACAAAGGTCACACAAGGCTCAGCTCTGCTCCTCGGCACTATTTCGCGAGGTTGTCAGGCTTCAGGGGAGGCTCTATTGGCGCAGCTCTCTGTGTGCTAACACCCACCCCTAGCGCAACGATTCTCTCTCTCTCTCTCTCTCTCTCTCTCTCTCTCTTTCTTTGCTTTGCTAAGGGTTAATATATTAATCTAGAGCTTGAGGCAGTCCCCCTGGCCCGCGGGACGGGCTCGACTGTACTCTTTGTACTCTGCCCGTTCGCCACTCTCTTGCTTTGAGAAGGGTTAAGGGTAGTCAGTCCCCTCCCCGCGTTCACAGCAAGTTTTACAAGGTGGGGGTGGGGGCGTTATCAGGTGGATTTTCGGCAATGTGTCTGTATTACTTGCGAGGTGTCTAATTAATGGGGGAGGGGGTTGTAGTTGTTCCGAAGTAGATGTGTTTGGCGAATGGTGGTCTTGCATGCCACCAGCATCTCCCGAGATGCTACTGTGGCTAAAAGGAGCCGCCTGACGATGCAAATTTGGCTCCTCGTGGCTAGACTGAACACCCTAAACCCTGGATCCCAACGCTTCTTCGATGCGTCGCCGTTGGCCTTCGCTGGGATGCGATTTTATGATTCCCAAAGTCTACAGTCGAGTCTACACGTCCATAGCAGGAACATCATCCGACGAATGAAACTGCATTTCGCGCGTCATCGTAGTCCACGTCCATGGTGATGGTTCGTTATTCTGCGGAGCGGGAAGCAAGACCGGCTGGAGCCAAACAGCATCCAAACATTTCTGAGGTCATGAGATGCTACACATGTTCGTGCACAGGCAGAGCAAGGTGTACAGTACACTGTCTTCAGGTCAGCTCTCGAGACCTCTGGGCCTCGGGCTGTCGTGCGAACTCGGCCCGTGACGCAACCTAGGAACCCCAAGGTTGGAGCTACTTCAATCAGCTGGCCTACTTGGGTTGGTTGCGGATGCAGCGGTGGGGTTATCCAAAACTGTACACTGCCATCTTTCTGGGAACAGCCGCAAATTGAAGTACGAGCCTGCGAGGAAATTTGTCAACATAAATGCACATCCAGCAAGCTTCAGTCCCACAGCAGAACTTTGCAAAATAAGGTAGCATGTCCTAATCCCCAACAAGCATGATCTCATCATAAAGCCCTTCAGTTCAGATACGATGCCTAGGTTCCTTGTACTTTTCTGTAGATGGGACGATTCATTGCTGACTCGGTTTGGGAACTACGGCCTCCAGGACTGAACATGAGGTTTGCTTTCATCTGCTACTGCAAAATCAGGATTCCCATGCGCATGTGCTAACAAGAAGGCTGCGAATAAATACCTTTCATGGACCAGCGCTTAGTTTTGTAGCTGCAGTTTCCGGGCACCCGGACGGGATAAGCTTACAAAACAGAGCAGTGCGTGGTAGGCGGAAGTTTCCTCGTGACGGACAGCACACCTTTTTCTCGCGGCAATGCACGCAGATGCGTTATGCATAGAGACGTCGTCTTAAAAGTTCACGTCGTGCTTCATGATGATGGATTGCATCTGCGGAGTGCGGGAGAAGGAGATCGCCTCCAAACCAGCCATATTCCGCACGTTGACCTTGTATCAGGACGGAAGCGCGATGGTTTCCACAAGAGGTTCCAAGAATCTCGCATCCTCCACCCAAATCTGGGGAGTTTCGGGATGGGGCTAGACGGTAGAGGCTGCTGGATTTTCAAGCTGCAAGACTTCTGGTTGCATTTCCTGACCCTCGCAGTCACGCTAAGATTAGGACTCAGCAAGCTCAGGGCTTGGGGCCTGTATGGTTTGTGCGCTCAGGGTTGAGGAGGCTTAGGCCCTGGGTCTTAAGGGCTACACTTACACAGCTCAAGGCGCCGGCATGTACAGGCCATGTATCGGGCCCTTTGAGGCTCACCCCAATAGATTACCATGCGGTAGACAACGGCAGGACATCTCATGCTTTGCGCCTGGCGGCGTTGCTACAGCCAAGTGAAGAAACTGAGACTGGCATGGCATGATGCTGTGCTAAGCTAAGAAACACAAAACTGAACCACAATGTACTACAATACTACAAGAAATGACAATAACTGTAAGATAACGCAGGAAGCAGAACAAGTAACCTTAGCACGGGCAACTAGATCGACGAACACAACATAACGTGACAAATCGCAGGCCTGCCTTGGCACAGTGATCTAAGCTTAACAAACCGACAAGTGGGGCAGACTTACGTGCCAGCTGCAGATCGCAGCACAAGGCTGTACCGCTGATGCTTTGCCACGAAGTGCAGCTCAAAAAGTTAAAGATCGATGTAAAGAGAGCACAGCCCTACACCTGTCGAATGCATTTAAGATCACAGGGTAGCATCCTGCAAGGCTGTGCCAGATGCTGCGGTGTCTGAGCGCCAGAACATACATTAGCTAAAGCGGGTCAATCTGCAGCAAAAAACGGATCAGAAAGAAGAACACCTAAACAGATCTCCACGCACAAGCACCTGGGCTCAGCCAAGGCACCAGAGCCCCATGCTCCAATAGCTTCGTGACCAGATCGAAGCGGTCCTGCACCGGACACAAGTCGCCCCCCAGAAAAGGCTCCAAGTTTTCAGTTTCGAGCAGTGGGGCCCACCGGCAGAATCGGACACTGAAGGAAGAACGTTGTGCTCATGTTTTAAGACATGAAAACGCAGCCCCTCCTTAGCAACCGCGTCGTTGATGGCCACATGGCCCTGGTCGTCGGAGCAGTTCGGGTTGGCTTTGCCTTGGACGCCAAGCCCCAGAAGCGGGAAACTCGAAACTTGGAGTGTATATCAACAGGGTGAAGAGCAGTGCCTGAGTTGGGACATTTCGCAGTTCCCCGGGACAGGTTTCGGGGTTGAAACTCGCAATCCCAGCACCTAGCAGGGTGTATTGCTCTGACTCATGCACTTCCCTCTTGTAAGGATCACCCGAGTACGATCCCTGCGATACTCCTGAGTTTCGCTGAAAAGTCTCGCGCCCTTGGTCTCCACACGGCGAAAACGTATGTGGGCTCATGTTTACATTGATCTCCGCAATGCTTTTCTCCGAATTGTAGGGACCGGGGGTTCAGGGCTCTCCCTGCATTAGTAAGGACACATAACGACCAGATTTCGTTAGAGATACCCTCTCCCGCACCATGTCCGCAGATCGGGCTGAGACAACACTGACAAACAACTTGCTATCATTGTAACCCATGTCTCGCACTGCAAGGCGAATCACGTTGAGGGCTGCCATGAGTTGACAGGAGAACAACTCCGGTTCGTTCAACATGCTGTGCATTGTTGAGGACACTAGGATATTCTGCGTCTGACGCCCGAAGCACTCCTATATATCAGTGACCGTATATCTTGAATCCGCCAGCTCTTATACAGTTTAGGGTGTCGGGTCGCCGGCTCAGGGCTCAAACTTGAACTTGTTCGATCCTTACAAGCAGGACCCTGAAGCACCGAAGAGGCTACAAAGCCCGAGCATCTGTACCTTCGACACAGAACCGAACACCCCTTCAATTTCCGAAGATCGACCTAATTCAGCCTCATTTACCAAGCCCTCGCAATACAGGCGAAAAACCTCAGCTGAAACACAGTAGTTACGCTCAGCGTTCTCCGATATATTCGAAACCTTCAACCCTACACTCTTGTCTACTGCTTCGCGCAAGTTTCCGGATCCAAAACCCCAAAGCTTTGAGGACCTAAGCCTGGGTGCCTTTCAGAAGGAGTTCTGCGGCTCCCGCATGGCCGAAGCGAACCGCAAGGTGGAGTGGATGGGTTTTCGTGAGGTCCTCTCAGTAGGAAAAAACTGCTTTTTGTGGGGAAGGAAAATTTTGAAGCTCATGGTCTCAGGGCTTCGACCAAGGTTCCGGGAAGGTTCCAGGCACCTAAATTCCATTATTCGGCTCAGAGTCTGCAGCCTGTCGGCACTCATGATCAGGCAAGGTTCCATGCGAATCTATGTGTTTGGGGTCTGAAGGTTTCAAGAAGGATCCTAACTACACGACCTCCAAGAATCCCAAACCCACAGCTCAGTGCAATCTATAATGTTGTGCTTCCCTGAACTGGATTCGGCATGAGCGGGTATATATTTAGGAATCTAGGCACAAGATCGATATCCTGTGCGACTGAAGCCTTGAATTAGTAAGCGCGGAGAGCATAGGGCAGTAGTGCAGAACCATGACGCCACGTTTGCATTTACCCCACGTCCGCACTCCGTGACTATAGGCAAATCTGACAGCGTCAGAACCCTGATCACAAGAACAAGATCCTCTACCCGCGGGTCGGCATTCTTCTCCAGCAACAGCCTGGAGCCAACATGCGAGGCTCACAAGAAAGTTGCGTTGAACGGCACAGGGCATCTGGTAGTGAGCCGCAGGCTAAGGACAACTCTCCCGGGAAAGTTGCAGCTGGTGGATGCAAACTCTCGCGCTGGGGCGAAACCGTCTTGGTATGAAATATTAACACAGCACACCCGCAAAGCTCGTGAGATACAACGTTTCACCCGGCACAGTCGCCCCACGTGTCGGTCCGTCTGACACACACACACACACACACGCGGAGAGACAGAGGCACTCCATTGTATAGCCGAAGCCCGCAACCCCTAGCACCGAAACATCGAATGTCGTGCCGAGCTTCTGCACGACCGAAGCGAAGCCCATCTGTGCAGCTGCGTGGAGGGCGGTTCTCCTTGTACCATCCTGTACTTCTGTGCTAACTTCCGCGCCTTTTCCTGGGATCTGGAGCACGGAACAGAACCGAAGCGCGATACGATTTCTGTACGAAACGAGAAGAACCGAAGTGCTTTAGAACCAAGTTTCTGAAGAGGTACTTGCAGATATCCAAGTGGCCAGCGTTGGCAGCCTGAGAAGGATGAATGGCGCATGACATGCCGCACGCCTCTGGGAGCTTGGTGTGATTTTTTGGGTCAAGAATGTCTGCTGCGGATTGTTCGGCATGAGCCGTGGCACTTCATGCTGCAAACCGCCGCAAGTAGCAAGGCAGAGGCGAGCTCACAGCCCGAAGCTGCAATGGTGTCATAAACTCAGTTCCGGGTCCAGGGTCTAGTTTCAGTATCGGCCCTTTGGATTGTATGTGTATTTCCTCGTTGACTCTAGAGAATCGAGGGCCCTCGGATCTCAATTCTGTTCTCCACCGAGGGACCGCTATGAGAGGTGTGACCCCGATGTCCGGCTCAGGCATGTTCACGTCCGCCTTGGCCTGGTAGCTCAAGTTCTACAGGGTCGCGAGTCAAGAAGCTTCAAGGTTTTGAGTCACGGCTTGGCGGCTGAGATAAGCTGTTGGAAGGCCTGAAAACGCTGCGTGGCATTGCTGTTGCAGACCCCCCACATAGGCCTCCCTTTTTTAAACCGTACTGAGGCCCATGCGAGTGACCGGAAAGAGCATTCACCGAACAGCCATAAGACTCCCTAAACTCCTAAATATGCAATTAACCCCAAGAGGATGGCCCTCGGAGCCTCGAAGTGATGCTAATGCTGAGGCCTTCAGTTTCTCTGGGGCATAGAAATCAGGAGGCCGAGCAATAATCTCAGGAATCTGCCCGGACTGAGTTGTTGCGGTGCTTGCATTCAACCTGAAGCACAACTAGGCAGAACTACTCCTGCTTGAAGCCTAGAATCTAGACCCTTCTTCGCCACTTGCTCACCTTAAACACTACACACTTCGAAAGATGAGAAACCAAAGCAACCACAGTTCGCTGCCGCAGTCAGCCTAATTATCCTTGCATGCGCTTCATGCCAAGAAATACCTGCCCAGTTATGGAGGCCCGACCCTCGTATCCGCGCTTCCGAGACTCCGATGGAACCCACTCAAGCTCGGGCTTTAGTGATTTACTGTATGAGGACATAGGTAGAGGGCTTGGGCTCCCACACTCGACGGCTCCTTGGGATCTGAATCATGGGAAAACCCCCCGCCCAGGCTTGACAGCGCGATGCTTCCGAAAGGGATCCGTTTCCTGTCCCCCGCCTGGAGGTTTAAGACTTCTTGCACCCACAAGGAAGGCCTGCATACTCATACTGCAGAATGGCTTGCGCCATTTCAGAAAAAGTCATCAGCCCCAAATACACAGAAGGCCTTACCTGAAACACCTAGAGCCTCCGAAGATCCGTTCTTTCGGAGTTGCTGTTGCAGACTGCACGGTCGCTTCCCCCATGTGTCACCATCATGGATGATAACACTGCTAGACCGTCTTATTGTCACTTTACAACCATTCATCTACAGAAAATGTAGTAAAAGACGGGGCTCTGGGGACCGGCCTGGATCAGCTCCGCTGCCACCGTGAGATTCCCATTCTCGCAGAGGCGCACCAAACACCGAGATGCCAGGGCCAGGCCATCAAAATCTTTCACCAAGGTGAAGTCCTCCAACAGCTAGGTCCACAGAAACTTAAAACTTCTAAGCATACCAAAAGCGAGAACGACAGGAGGAAACACGGATCCGAAAACATGGATCAATTGCACCGGTCCTGGTTGACATCAAAACCGTTCTCCTCCTCCACGGCCCCACCGCCACGTGGCTTAGGGGTAAACTTAGCAGTTGTGCTTCCGTTGGTAAGCGCTGCAGGCTTCTCGTCACCGGCCGCTGCATGATCCTCAGTTTGAGGATGTTGTTCCCATGCAGCCAATATGAGTATTGCAAATCTTGTGGTGTAGTTGGACTAGCCAATGCCAGTCAGCCCGGACAGAAATGAAGATGGTTCAATCGATACACAGTCAGGTAGACCCAAGGGGCCTTCGGGTCCCTTGCAACTTCAGCTTGGCAGCACAGATCATAACAACAGTACTCAACTACCCCCCAGCGTCGCCTAGCAGTCTCTTCAAAAGCTTCAGCCACTACCACTGCATGTTTTTGTTGAGTTGCAAATTAGGAGCATGCATCAGAGTATTTCCTACGGGGCTGTGAGTTTCGGAGATACCTCAGACACCCCAGCACCTTTCTGTAGTAGCAGTGGCAGGCGGGGCACCGCGAGGATTTTCCGGAGGCTGGCCAGGAGCTGCCTTCGCGACATGCTGTGAAGGTGTGTGTGTGTGCACAACAACAGCGCACACACGTAACATCTCTCTCTCTCTCTCTCTCTCTCTCTCTCTCTCTCTCTGAATTTATCTGCAATATGTAAATGTATAAACAAACAGATTTGAAACCACATAAACAAACAGTTATATGTGCATACGTACATATATATATATGTATATATATATATATATATATATATATATATACACATAAATCGGAGGCCTGAATGATGAAAGCATTGTGGGGCGTATGTCATGTTAAGGGATGTCATCGCTGTCAGCACTCCTATATTACTTAGACCCTCGCTGGGCACCATGCGCTTAGGTCGCCCAGGAGCGTCACAGGGTTTGGGATGGTTTGGGGTTGGCGCCGAGGTTCGAACTCTTGAGGGCTTCCAGTTGCACTGCTGCGTCTCGTGCATAAAGCCAGTCTTCTGAATTCTGGAGAATCGCGGGTTCGGGCCAGATGAAGTCTCTTTAATTCAGTTCGAGCTGTGCTTCGTCCTTGAGAGGGCTTGCAGAAGGGGCAAGCGAAGCAAAAAGACAGCAACCCTCACCACACCCTCAACCCATCTTACGCAATTTCAGCTTGTCGCTGTCGCTACAGAAGCCAGAGAGATAGTGCAAACTGGGCGCCCTCGTCGACGCTCAACGAAGGAGGTCGCAGCTATCCTGGCGTCTTGGGAAGCCTGCCGGGAAGTTTTCCGCGAAGTTAAGCCCTGGGCTCTGTCGATTGCTATCGGGTTTCTACTTGGGAGATGCTCGATTAAGCATAAAATGGAGGCCGATCCCTTCGTTCATTTCCTGAATGCCTCACAGCGGACAGCAGTGCAAATCTAACCGCAGAACCTCAGATCTGCATACCCGTCGGAGCAATGTGGAGCAGACTCACCGCTGAAACCTAGACCCGGACCCCACAACCCTCAGCGCATGAAAGGCTTCATCAAATCTCTACAAGCCTGCCACCATCGGTGCTAACCGTTGCCTGGCGCAAGGGGCCACCGCCCTGAGCCAGCAGACCCTGGAGCACTTCCATCAGCTTCTGGACGTCTGACTCCTCGGCCACCTTCTGGTAGTTCTCCTTGCAAGTCCGAGGGTATCGACGGGCACTAACCTAAAAAAGTGAGCAGTTGTATGACCTGTCAACACAGAGACATGCACACACACACACATATGTATATATATATATATATATATATGTATGTATGTATATATGTGTGTATATACACATGCATATATATATATATATATATGTATATGTACACCCGTATACATATATTGTATACATACATATGTGTATATATATATATATACATATGTATATATATATATATATATGTATGATTATGTATGTAGATGCTCCCCGCCCCCCGCCCCAAGGATCCACCATTTCCCTTTGCAAGGGACCTACTGCGCGGCAGAACTGTGCGTGCCTGAAGCCAAGAAGGGTGTTCCATGCGGGCGGGGCGGGGGGGACTGCACACACACACACATATATATATATATGTATATATATATATATATGTGTGCACACAACCGTGCTACTATGATTATTGCAGTAAGCATCGAAACACTATTGTCATCTTGATAATCAGCGGTGGAGGCTTGGCGGGACGGGCTTGGAACTTTTCCGTTAACAATCATCATGCCGATAAAGACGTATATAACCGCAAGAGCTACAACAAGCTCGACGTACACACACAAGCAAAACACATGACTGGATAGCTAAATACAGAACAATGACAAACAAAAACACTATAATTGATAGTAGTGGTTATACGCGTTGTTCGTTTCTACGGATAGCCAAAATTCTACTGGTAGCAATGATGAGCGATGAAAGACAACACGTTGATACTTGAAAAGTCACAAAACCTCTTGCTGACTCATAATTAGTGAGAAGTAAGTACATGCAAACAATTAAGCACAATCTGAAACTTAAATGACACAGGATGCCTTCTTCTGCCGATGTCTTTGTATATACATATAGTAGTAGTAGTAGTAGTAGTAGTAGTAGTAGTAGTAGCAGTAGTGGCAGTAGTAGCAGCAGTAGTAGTAAGAGTCGGGAGTATGCTAACGCAATAACTTTAGCAAACAAATAATTTTCTTTAGCGGACCCATCGCGCAACTTTCGCGCTGGCATGTCATGCTATGCCCGTGATCGTTTTGTATAAATACAGCCATAAGGACCTTTAGATCAATGCTCATATGCGAATGTGTATACATAAAGCGAGCGAGAGAGAGAAAGAGAGAGAGAGAGAGAGAGAGCGAGAGAGAGAGAGAGAGAGAGATAGAGATAGAGAGATGGAGAGATAGAGATATAGAGAGCGTAGAGGGAGACAAGGAGAGAGAGAGAGAGAGAGAGAGAGAGAGAGAGAGAGAAAGAGAGAGAGAGAGAGAGAGAGAGACAGACTGCAATCTACATATGGCCAGATACGTATGCAAATATCTGAATCGACTATGTGAGAGTATGCTTTAGCTTGAGTGGTGCCGGCGCGTTGCTTGAAGCGAATGACTGCTTTCGCTAGGCAGGGTAAGTGTGACCATCATTGAAGGTAAGGGGAATTTCGGTGTTTTGGCAGCTGAAATTTTTCAATAAATAAGGAATACTTTCTTGGACGGTCTGACCCTGTCGGAAATTCATATCAATGTAGAAATGAAAGCCGAAAGCCGGGTCAAGAAAACCCGAGTGCCCCTGGGTTGGGAGCTTAGGGCTCCAAGCCTCTGAACTCCATATCCTCGACACTCCAGCCCTGCCCGCTTTCCTGGGTGATGGCGGTCTGCCGCCACTGCTCCATCGTCAAGGCTCCAGGGCGATCAACCGACAGCGAGTTTTCCTTACTTCTCAGAAATTCGAATCATGCTTCCTCAGGGGTGGTTTGCGTCACGTTGGGTGAACAGGCCATCATCAATAGTCTCGCAATAGGCTTTTGTCGTAGATGAACGACATTGGATGGCTCGGGGTTAGCAGCTCCCCAGAGGCGAGGCTCAGCCTCGTCAATGGACATGCCAAGGACCAGCTCGTGGGTCCTCTTCTCCGGCTTGCTTACTAATTGGGGATGCAAAGGCTTCGCAAAGTTCTGTGCATGGGAATGGCAAAAAAGATGCAAGGAGTTTGACTGGTTTATATAAGCATCATTCATGACGGTTCCTACATTTCCGGCTCTAGAGGGACTTTCCAAGGTTTTGCTCCACTCCAGCATATGAGTCCTCTTCGGAACAAGATGCGATGGATGATAGTGGACTTAGATGCCTTGAACCCCGGTTGTCAACAACGGCCCCTCATAGTGCCAAAATGGTGTGGAGTGCATTGTGGTATAGTGTGCATGTGGGGGGTGTTCTTATACACTCGCGGAAACAAGGATGTAGGCTTTAGGCGAGTTTGCCAGTCCTCTGGTCAAAGACGATTGGAACGTCTGCAACGGCCGTCTGCGCCACGCAGTTTGCCTCTGTCAATCATCTTCGTCACCAGAAGCCACAACAGCGCCATGCCAACATCAAGACGAAGAACAAGAGCAACACCCACCCAAGCAAGCAACCAACCAACCACCCACAGCAACTGTAACAACAGCGACAACAACAACAACGTCGACGACAACGACGACAACGGCAACAGCAACAGCCACAACTACAAACCACAGCAGCAACAACAACAACCACTACTACAACGTTGAAAACGACGACACCAACGACAACATCGACAACACCAAAACCAACAGCAACAGAATTAACAATAAAACTAACACAAGCAACGACTATAACCATAAATGAGTTCAGCAGCAACAGCAACAGCAACAGCAACAGCAACAGCAACAGCAACAGCAGCAGCAGCAACAACAGCAACAACACCAGCAACAGTAGCAGAAGCAATAGCAACAGCCATAACCTGGGCCAAAACAACAGCAACATGCTGCTTGTGCCGCTGCTGGTGCTAGTACTGCTTATGCTGCTCCACTACTGCAACTACTACAGCTACTATAAAATGTTAATACACCAAGCGAAACGGCGGCAACTTACTACCCTGCCCTACCAGCCCTATTACTACCACTACACCTACCGCTACCGGTGGGGCTGCGGCTGCGGCTGCTGCTACTGCTACTCCTACTCCTACGACTAGTGCATTCTACTGCTACGACCTGCTGCCACTGCTTCTGAAACTGCCACTTCGACTTTCCGTGCCGCTACTGTATTTTGTCAATGCGAAATAACTGCTCAGGCCTACTACACAAGCTACTCATTGTGCGGCTGGAGCAAAGCCTTGATGGCGCAAGGCCTTTAAACAAAAAGGACTCCTCTCGTCGTCGTAGCCAAGTCCCACAACCACAAATTTATGCGGCTTGACCTGTTGCTCGTCTTTGCAATTCAGGTCGGTAATAGGTTCGTGTTTGCCGGTATGATCAACAGTTCAGCCTGACACCCCGGATCAAACAACACCCCCAGGGCCTCCGCCAGCCCACCGCTTCGGGTGGAGACAACCGGGATACCTCGAAGTTGAGCCTCCGTCACGACGAGGGCGAAAGCCTGAGGCTCGGGCGGATCTTTTTGCAGGGTTGACAGATGTTTCGAAGGCAGGGATGATTTGTCTGATATTTGCGAAACGGTTCGGGGCTTGGCGTCAAGGTGTTGCTTTCTTTTTGCAAGGGCTGTAGGAACTTGAAACGTGTTGGGGCTTTTCGAGTTTCACGTACGTGCCACCGCCAGGATACTCCTCGTGTATCTGGCATTTTGCTTTGAATGCGGACGCCTCCGCGTCTGTTGGAGGGTTTCTGCGCAACGTTCAGCAGCATTTGTCGGGCTTTGGGGCACTCTGAGAGAGATGAGCGAGACATAATCAAGCTTGTAAAACCCAAATACCAGGTCTGAAAGTTTAAGCATGATTCAACCGATTTGAGTTCGTGGATGTTCGGCTTCTTGTTTTTAGGCATGAGTGTCAAAATTCGAGAAGCATAATACCAAAAGCACGAATGCAGCTGAACAAAATCAACGATTTGGGGAGAAGCACGCGCATTGGTAACTTGTACGACCTTTGTCTCTTGTGGAACTGGTTCAATCTGGACGAGCCCGTGAGCTTGCCGAAGATGCGACCCAAACCTGACAAGTACCCAAACCGCCCGCGCAACAAAAGCATTTGCTTTTATAAGGCTTCGAATTTAGACGGTGACGGTCGTATGCAGTCCGATTGGGCAGCGCCGACATCATGGGCATCCGTTGGATCTCTTATTTTGCTCACTCAGCACGGCAAGTAAAGACTGGTTGCTCAACTGTTTCTAAAGCTGATGATTGTCTGTGCATCCTTGACTGCCAGCTCACATGTTTGAGCAGGATCTTCAGTACATCAAGAGCTCGCAACAAAACGCTTAACATCAGCAGGGGAATGCGTCTTTCTGCACTCCTCCTTGGTTCCACCGCTAAGGCAGAAACATACCTTTCAGCCGCCTGCATTCTGACGCTGATGGATCTTTGGACCTTAGTAGATCCTGTTGCCGGCGTTTTCGGCGCAGCACCTACACTGACCTACACACCGCCACAATATTTGTCCCGCTTGCATGCCTCAAGCCCCAGCAGTGTGGAAAAGCATGGAACTTGTTTCGCCCTGCCACCTGGTAGAAAGGTCCCGCGTACGTGTGTATCACCCAAGGAGGTGGTGGTTCAAATCTTGCAAACGCCGGTGTCATTGGGTCTGTTTGAACCTCGACATTCCTTGTCTCCTTGACATTGGGCTGCTTATTGTGGTTCATTGGAGGAGTAGAATACGATGAGGCCGAACTCTGGTGTGTCCCTTTAAACATATCAGTCGGGAATCTCGGCATTGGGGAAGTGCCCTCAGGCATGGGTTCCTGAAACTTCTCTTGCAATTCAGTTAGTCTCACCTTCTGAACCGTTAAGTCAGAGGCTTCCAGCCCCAAAATCCACTGCAGCTCCTTCAGCTCAGTTCCAGTCAGCTTTCCAGAGTTCTCCTCTTTATCTGCTCGGGCACGTAGGGCTCGAATCGTTGTGTTCCTCGGACGCAAGCGGCTCTTTCCACCCTCCCATAGTCCAATGACTGCCACAGACAGGCGATCACGTACAATTCCCACAGGACCTCAGTTTGTAGATCATCTTTTTGCCCTGCGCAGCCACATAATTGACATAACATTAGTAGTGTGGAAAGCCTTTGAGCTCACGTTCGCCAATTTCACCTTCTGCGCTGTCGTAGGAGACCTCCGATCCTTTATTCCCCAGTCCCACCAAGTGCATCAACTTTTCCCTCGAGAACGGTTTCGTCCCCAATTCTGCGCACTGCCCTTCACCGGGTTGGTGTTTCAGGTCCACTGCCTTTGTCCGGATCAGCTCCCGAGCCCAGTTTGACCGAAGGTGTAGATGACGGGTGCGCCAGGATCCGGTAGACGAGCCTAACAATGTAACTGCTCCCGCATTATCGACCAACAAGTTCATCTTCAGGTCTCGATGTGCTAGTTCATCAAGTGGTCCCTTTGTCGCTCGACCCAAGACCGCTCCTTCGACCGCCTCCAGGAGCTCAGAGTCTGCCGTTGACAAAGTGCACAACTGTTGACGTGCAGATCTCCATGAAATAGCACAGCCACTGAAGAATATAGCACATGATCAATGGGAACGTCCACCGCTTGGAGCAAACTATCTGTGTAAACGTCCAGGTCAAACTCCTTGTCTTCGTGGTACACAAAGCCCAGCCCATAGTTGACCGTTGCACACAGGTAGTCGAGCCTTCTCCAACACGATTAACGAGCTCCGGGCATCTTGTAATCCTTGAGGACATGGTTGAGACTGTGTGTTGCAAGTCTGGCCTCGTTCGACCCATGAGCCACAACAGTTCTCCAACCCTTCGCTGAGCTTCCTTGATGATGCTCTCTTTGCCTGTAGTGTCTATTGGTTGGGCATCAATCAACGCACGCTCCTCCTCATCAGATAGAACCAAGGTTTCACGGGGCCCTTGATCCTTCGATGTAGCTCCATTGTGATTGTAGGCTCTGAGGAGCTCCTTGACAAAACCCTCTTGTGCCATTTCAACACCTCCTGTGCCCAGAAGCTTGATCGGGTGTTCAAAGTCAAGCACGTCCAGCTCATCAACCTCCCATTTTGCGGACAGCCAATTGAAGAAACCCCACGTCTTCTTCGGCGTTAATCAACAAGTCGTCGATGTACAACAACAGATATCCCTGAGGACCTCCATGGCCATCTTCTCGAACATCATCACCATCTCCAGGTAGAAGAGCTCCCTCATCGATTTCCTCGGAATTATGAGGTTCTTGTCTGTTTTCAGCATCTTCACTTCAATCTCTGGGTGTTGCTCCCCTCATCAGAAGAATCTCCATCCACTCCACTGATCATTGAGTTGGGGTCAATGTCGAAACCCACGTCCCGAAGTTTCTGCGCGCCTTCTTCAGCAGACAACTTTGTCGCTCGGGGCATGAACATCAACATCATCACTCTATCTCCTTCCCATGGTTGAACTTCATGCCCACAGACCAGGAAGAAACGAAGTCACTTCTCCCTTTCTTAGTTCCATAATCCGGCCCTTCACTTTCTTGTCATTGGGCAAGATCTTGGAGACACAGTCCTCCTATGTTCCAACCCTTGAAGTCTGTGAGGGGCATGACGTGGTTCTGAGAGGCCCGGTAATTATGCATGTCTCGATGGATTCCTAGCTGAGCATTCCTGGTTATCCCAAGTGCTGAAGACCGTTTTCCATCGGCGTACTTCTTCGCAAAAGCCACGGGGAACTTACTTCTGTTGGGGAAGTTCTCAACGTTGTTCCTGGGTCCAGCCTTCTGGCGTAGACGAAGGCTCCAGTGTACCACGATTTAACATCCGTTTTTTCTCTGAGTCTTCGATCGTAGTCACCGAGCTGTTCCAGCTTGTAGTGCAAGTCAAAGACTTCTTCTATGGTGAAGGTTCCATTCTGCAGTGCCATTTTTGATTGGAACTCAACCTCCTCCCTCAACTGGACCTTTGTCGGTGACGTAGCTTCCGGATCATCCTCAAGAACACCTCAGCAATCGCAGGGGGAAGTAGATGACGTAGCTCCGCGTTGTTTTGAACATCGATCACATCAAACTTCACACTCTTTGCTATTGTCAAAACTCCATCTTCTCGGGCAATCCAAGTGGCCTCTGTTGACGTCCATCGCAGGCCCTCTGTACCACCCCTTCTGCCACCGAGTTCCAGCAGCCTGGTGCTTCTTCTCCTTTGTGCCCTTGTAGTTCTTTGCTCAAAACCACACCCTGTTGCCGAACCAAGCACTGTCCGGGAAAGCCTTAACCCACATGCAGAGCAGCAGATGCATGCGCTACAGGCATCGGCCACTCGCCGCGCGGTGCCCCCGAGGCCTTGATAAGGGATCTCATTCTTGATTTAGCTCACTTTACTCCAAGCTCTGCCGTTGAATTTCCGGATGGGTCTCCTCCGGCGGTCTTGGTGTGGCGCAAATTGGCATCCACTGTCCACTCCTTGAGAGCCTTGGCCTTGAATTCTCGAGCACGATCGCTACGCAAGCCTGCGACATGCAACCCAATTAGTCTTAGCTGAATTACAATCTCCTTGGCTGCCTGAAGCACACCTGAAGCAGTCCTCCTCCTCAGTGGTCTCGTGATGTAGATGGTTGCAGCTTCCTCAGGCGTGGTGAGATTTTCCACAGCCTCTTCCAGAGTTTCTGGCCCCAGAGGTACTGCTCCATCTTCTCCTCCGGATTCTTTATTAAGTCCTCATCATCTGAGCGAACTTCCTCGTCTACGCCCAAAGCATCATCTTCTAGTTCATCTGGTTCATCTGGAACATACATTTCCCGTTCATACTCCGCCAAGGCTCGTGAACTCATGTAGTCCTTGGGGCATCTGTAGGCAGCGACCATGACGTACTTGTAGTCGTCCCCTTCCATGTCTCTTCCCTTCTGCTTGAAGGGTCCTGCCAAATCTAATGCCACAGTAAACATGCTTGGGTGGAGGCGCCGACGGTGTTGGTAACCAGTTGCCTGAGCGTTGATGCAAACTGGGCAATCAGAACGGTAAGGCTGACGGTCATTCAGAAGGCGCTGGGTCCACGGATCCTTCTGCTCCTTGGTGAGCTTGGTCGACTGCACCTCCAGATCCACAAGCTCCCGTTCCGCGGCGAAGGTTCCATCGTGGAACTCACAAATCACCTTGGCAACCATTTCCTCGAAGCCATGGGACCAAGCGATCATCTCGTTATCATCAACCAATGACCTCGGCAAACAGTTGTCCGTGTAGTCGCACACCTGGTCCAACTGACTTAAGCGTGAATAGTTCGTGGCGATGGTGGTTGGCCTTTTTGATCTGTGGCCCGCTGCTCCCATGTAGAACGAAGCCACACCCGTCCCACTTAGTGACTTGAAAGATTTCCACAGCTCTTTGCCCCACATTGAGGCAGCAACTGGATCATCTTAAGGCAGACACTCTTTAACAGCAGGCTGTTCCAAGAGGAACCCTGCATTGCCTTTCCCAGAAGCGGTTGCGATCATCCACATGATCACCTGTTTGACCACAGCTGCGGTTACGTTGTTGAGTCGCTGTAGCTTCATAGGTGGTATAGTTCATCATGTCCAGAAGGTGTTGCTTTAGTTCTGACCGGGAAGGACGCAGGACCTCTGGAAGGAGTCAAGAGTGTGGGCCATGTGGAATGCGCAGGTGACCCCAGGACGTCCGTGATCTTGCTTTGCAGCTGCCCATAACAACAACTGGTAAGCTTCTCCTCGTCGGTTGAAGTCCCACAACTTCGACTTAGATGCATCCGCCTCCAAAACAACCTTGCCCTTCTTCGAGATCACCTGAGAAGGGTCCCCTTGTTCTTCTTTGGCCCTTTTGGATTAAGGTAGACCGCCCAGCTGTTTGATGGCATCAGCAACATCCTTTTTCTCTAGGTAAGCGGAAGCTGCTTGAGGTAGTCTAGACCCTTACCTTCTTCAAAACCTTCAGCGACCATTGCTTGTACATCATCAGGAAGTCCTCTGGAAAAGGGCAGGTCAACACCATGCCAAGGAGGAGGGTTTGTGAGCCCGTGGCAACAAACTCCCGTAGAAGCTCATCCCAAGAACGTTTTTTTCAATGCGTCCAATCTTGCCTTCAGGGAGCTCACCTGGTCATGCAAAGCTGCCATGTGTTTGGTTTCCAACTCATTGATGAGCGAGAGTGCATCCTTGGCCTTGATCTCCGGGCAGTTGTTGACCAGCTTCCCCCTTCGTAGGGTGGCGGAGTTGAAACTCCCCCTTTTTCCACTGCAAACTGCAGTGCAGCTCCTCAATCACTGCTCCGAGTGGCACAACTGGCTGCACCGAGTTGATGCCGTCATTCTCGATCAAGACCGTTCCGTGCAGGTTTTGCCTCATTTCCCGCACGTTCTCGCCCGCTAAAGTGGCCTTGACTGAGCTGCCCTGCTCATTTTCACTGCCATGAGCCACCCTCATTGCATGGCTGGCCCCACTCTCCAAAACACCCTCCATCACACTCAACGTTCAGAGCCTTCGTCTTGCGCTCAACGTGCTCCAGCTTCTGCTCGAAACCCACTTCCAACACTGTCGCCTTCTTCAAGTTGACGGCAGTCAGCTGCTTAAGCATCTTCCCAGCGTCAGCCAACATCTCCTCGAGGTCAGGATGCCCAGTGTCAGTAGACCTGGTTGCTCCTTGAGATCTCGACGGCACTGGCGCAATTTCCGGGTTTTCATCGATAGGAACCGATTTTGTTGTTGTACTTGTTGATGAGGTAGAAATCGACGGCTGCTGTGGCTTGAGTGTAGAGCATTGCTTCCCCCACATGTCCAGCATCTCCGAGCCTTCTCCTTCTCCTTTCCTTCCCAGGTATGCTGAAAAGGACACTTTGTGCCTCGCGCACACCCCTAGGCCCTAGAAGGTCTTCCCGAATTAGCGGCAAGGAATCGTGCCCCTTTTTTTCTGTGTCCGTGTCCTCGGCTCCCGAGGTATTCTGCGAAGATGACCTTGTAGTGGGCAGCGGTGGGGGAGGCGGTGTTGTGGTTTCGGTCTCCGGCTTCATCGGCGTGGTAGTAGTTGATGAAGTCGGCGTTGCCGTCATAGCCACAGCTGAGGTTTAGCAAATGACGGCAGTAGCTTTCCACCAAGGACGCGTTTCCACCATCAATGTAGACATCACCAAGCTGGTTCGGAAGCTCGCCTCCGGAAACCTGTCCATCATCTTCTTCACCATGGCGTTCAGACCTCGCGTAAGCAAGACCGGATATGGGGTTGTTATACCCCGAGCTCACGACGCCTTCGACGCCATCGCTCTCAGGATCTGAGGGCTTTGCGCTTCCAAGACCTTTTGAAGTTGTCTGTCTTGAGGTGGTTCCTGGAAGTTGTGGAGGATCCTGACTTTGTCTTCTTCTGCGCCCGGTTGACGCGCTTTTAGTGAGGCGCCGCGCTACCATCTCATTGCGAACCCCGTCTGCCAAAGCCAGCATCAGCATGCTCGCCGTCCGTGAGTTCACTCGGCTCCACTTGCCGGACTCCAACTCCTCTTCCCGTGGTGGGTTGATCTTCAGTCTTTCAAGAGGACTCGCGTTTGCCCATTCCACATAGCTCCTCGTAGCCGAACCTTTAACTCTTTTCCCACCATTGGCCACTTCCATCACTCAGGTCGCTCATTGGGGCACCCAGCATCTCGAGCCAGTCCATTATGTCAACTGAGGTAGACTCCACCTTCATCGCTCGAAGCTGTGGTAACGTTGTCGTACCCGGCTTGACCGTCTCCGGGCTCTTGTCCCCCTCGTTATCCTTGTCAGCCGTGGTCATTTGCTTCAGCATGTCTGCTTGAAGCTACGCCATTCCTCCCGCGAGCAAAGCCGTCGCATCTTGTGATTGACCAGACTGTCCACCGAGCCATTGCTGTGGTGACGGATTCGCTGCCGATGCACCTGGAACTGATGGATCTGGTGCCTTGGCCTCAAAGGACTCACTCTGTAGGAGCTGCTGAACATTCACTCCAGGAAGGACCACTCTGAGGTAGCTGCTGAACATTCCCTCGAGGCACACCTGAAGCTGCATGCAAATCTGAAGGACCACTCCGAGGTAGCTGCTGAATATTCCCTCGAGGCACACCTGAAGCTGCAGGACGTCTGAAGGACCACTCTGAGGTAGCTGCTGAACATTCCCTTGAGGCGCACCTGAAGCTGCATGTACGTTGACGGGACCGCTCTGAGGTAGCTGCTGAGCATTCCCTTGAGGCACAAGTGACGCTGCTTGTACTTTGACGGGACCACTCTGAGGTAGCGAGGCACAGGTGAAGCTGCATGTACATCAGCGGGACCACTCTGCAGCGGGACCACTCTGAGGTAGCTGCGAAACATTCTCTTGAGGCACACCTGAAGCTGCAGGTACGCCTGAAGGAACTCCTTGAAGTAGCTGCCTCTCTTGTCGTAGCTCTCTCACCTCCCGCTGTAACCTCTCCACTTCACTCTGATGCCTCTGCATGTACTCTTCCATCTGCTTCTGCACTGACGTAGGGCCATAAAGCTGCGGGTGTTACCCGCTGGGACTGCCTCATTTGAGACATCAGCTCCTCAGAGAAAAGGGGTTGAGGTCCTCGCATTGTCGACCACGACGAAGGAACGGCAGGTACCACGGCACTTGGCTGTAGATCCTGAGGCGCGTAAATATTCATCCAACCAAACGTCTGAGACTGACCTGTTGTCCCTGAAGGCTGCACGTGCGGAAAACCCAAGGTATCCAGCATCCTGTCCATGTTGTTTGCACTCCGTGTAGCAGTGGTGCTTAGGAACTCAGGGAACCTCGTCAGCCACCGAAATCCGCCCAGGTCCGGGCGCTCACTTCTGCTCTCTGCGGAATAAAGCTCTTGAACGAATAGGAATCGCCGATGGCCCAGCCTGAGGTAGAAAGAACACCATTCCGCACAACTCGTTCAGTGCATCGCCCTGGATCTTCAATTGTTGTGGTTTCCAACCCACCAGCGGTAGCATCTTGGACGTACATAACCTATAAGGCTTCGAATTTAAACGGTGACGGTCTTATGCAGTCCGATTGGGCAGCGCCGACACCATGGGCATCCGTTCGATCTCTTATTTTGCTCACTCAGGACGGCAAGTAAAGACTGGTTGCTCATCTGCTTCTAAAGCTGAGGACAGCTGTGCATCCTTGACTGCCGGCTCACATGTTTGAGCAGGATCTTCAGCACATGAACTGTACATCAAGAGCTCGCAAAAAAACGCGTTACATCAGCAGGGGAATGCGGGTTTCTGCAGCTTTGCAGCCTGGGGCCTTTAGGCCGCAAAATTCTCAACACTATATATATATATATATATATATACATACATACTCATTGCCGAATCCCCAAACCCACATGGAACTCTTGGAACTGCATAGACATCCCATGTAATTAGAGAAATCTGAAGCTTTCACATCCTGGTCAACCCAACCCACACCCCATTCTCGAAATATAAAGCCGAAACCCTTTTCTCTGCACCGAATCCTGAAATTTTCCAGCATCTCACTAGGCCTCGGGCCTCGGGGTAGACAGACGGCGCAAGCAACACCTTCGTCACCTTGAGCACTTCCTCGATCTTCTCGGTAGCTGCCTGAACCTTCACGTTCCGATACCTGCATCGCTTTGGAAACTCTGAACCTGAGCCTGTCATTCTTACACGCCGAGAGCTCCCGGATCCTAATCCCGAACCACAACACCCGAAAGAGCACCAAGGATTCGGGCTGTGGCTTGGGCGGGATCTAATCGAACACCCTGAAATTTTGCTGAGGTGAGGGGGGTCGAACATATTGACTGTCACCTGAGATTCAAATTATTTGCAGCTTTCGGTTGATCCGCAAGCCCGTCTCTCCTTGTGGACGCAAACCGCTTGTGGACGCGAACCGAAAAGCCCAAAATGCTGAAAGCTGTTTAAGGTCGGTTCGAGGATTTGCGACCCCTTAAGTCTCCGGCGCCAACACAAACCACAAGGACCCGACAAACCTTGAGCGCACCTGGGATTACCAAACCTGGGTTTAAGGTGACAAATTGACGAACATCCATCTCTCCCTGATTCAAAGTAGATGGAGCCTAGACCTGAAGCTCAGACCCTATATCAAGGCCCCGCCCCCCACACACACCCGCTGCAGTCCTTAATCCCAATGCTGAGCCCCAACCGCAGAGTCAAGAGGCCCCCCCCTTGAATCGAGTGGCTTCTTCAGGATCTGCTCATGCCATGGCTTGGTCCAGGTCACGGTCTTCACGGCCAGGAACTGCACCTCGTTTAGGGGCCTCTGGGTTTAGGGGGTGCGGTGGGGCGGTGGCTTGTTGTTTAGGGTTTCGGGGGTTCTGACTTTCAGGCTCCGGGCTCAGGCTGCGCAAGGCCGTAATTGTGCTTCGCTGGGTGTGAAGTGCAGCGCTTTGAAGTCTTCATGATATATATATACATATATATGACCTTAGCCTAAGTTTGAACCCGCTGGAGGGTCTGAGACGGCGTGTCGATAACCAGGCATCCATTCGAGCAGCAAGATATCGGGTTCATGGCTGCTTTCTGCAGTGGACTCATGACTTGTGGGCATATGGGATCTTCTGAGTGTTCTTTGCAAGGCGCGTCTGGCAGTGCCTCCGCGAGACGAAGGAAGATGCTGAGTCCCTTCTCCGGGCAAGGGCTCACAAAGGTCACAAAACCTGAGTCTTACGGATCAAAGCGCTTGGGCCACCAGGAATCTGCTATCGTATCGCTACTCGGGTCACTCCTGGGTTGCTGTGTCATGCTACACGCTCGAAGGTGCTAGGATCTGCATGCTCCTTCGCAGCAGCCTTTCGTTGGGATGTGTAGGCTGGGCATCAGCATCGGCCCCCGAGGCTCCGCTGTAGCTTCTCGTGTGCTCGGGTTCAGGGTCGGTGAAGACTTAGTGATTGTAGTAAAGTTTGAGGCTGGGAGGATAGTATGAGGCGGGGTGTATGTACTCTTCCGGGGCGCAGTGCTAGGGAAAAGAGCCGGGATGCCTGGCGCCTCTGCTGCGTTCAGGGCAGACATACACACGTACATACTTACAAGTACTTACTTACAGACAGACATACACGCGTACGCACACAGACATGAATGCATGCATGCATGCATGCATGCATGCATGCATGCATGCATGCATACATCCGTGCGTGCATGCGTGCATGCATACGTGTAATTACGTGTATGCATGCTACATGCGTGTTTGTTACTTGCAGGCATATACTTACACACATACATGCATGCACGCATGCATACAGACATACTTGCATACACACACACACACACACGCACACACACACACACACACACACACACACACACACACACACACACACACACACACACACACACACACACACACACACACACACACACACACACACACACACACACACACCCGCACACACACACACACACACACACACACCAACCAAACACACACCACACACATGCAAGCAAGCAAGCAAGCCGAACAAACATACGTAGATGCACCAATATGCTATTTAATTACCCGCCTACCCGCCTCCCTACCTACCTACACCAACCTAACCTACCTACATACAGACATACCTACGTAAACATACCTACATACGTACATACAAGAATACGTACATGCACATGTGGGAGCACGTGCAGACAAACGGACGAGACCCAAGACATCCCTGCCTAGCTACCTCCGGCCCTGCGTGCGTGTTTGCGTGAGTGCGTGTGTACTGACCCACCAACGTACAGACATGCATGCCTATGCACAATTATCCCACTCTCTCGCTCTTCTGTCGAAAGAACCATGGACTTACAAGGCAGCCCAGGGGGCTGTGTTGGCCTTCCCAGGGCTGAAGGGGCTCTTGTGGCAGTGGATCGAAGAGGGAGAAGTCGGCGGCGTAGCCTCGTTTCAGGATTGGTTTTGACACTTTCAGGATTGGTTTAAAGCTTCAGGGTGTTTCGACTCTCACAGCTTGGCGGACCGGGCGAGGTCTGAGTCTGCAGTTCAGCATGCAGGTTGGGATATTGGATATTTCTCTTTAAAGGTTTTTTTTGTCACTCGTGCTCGACAAGTCAGAGCACTTTAAAGGCTTTAGAGTAGGCTGAAGGATGCCGTTATGGCTGAGCTTTTTCGGTGCTATCAGGCACAGGGGTGAGCGGGGTCCGAGATCAAAGCCTGCTTGGGGAGCCTTTGGTGCTTGGTTCTTTCTTCGCCATGATTGTGTGACAAGCGCTGTGACACATTTGAGCTCATGATGGTGTGATCACGACGGCGGTGGCTTGCGAGGGTGACCATTCTTATGCTGTGTTGTCGTCGTCACTTCCATTTCGTCTGGTCCGACTCGGGGTAACGGGTCCCAAATCACGATGCTGCTTCGCTAGATCGGGTTCCAGGTTCGGGCTTGCAGTTTTAGGAGATGAGGAGTTTCAGGATTAGGTTTGGGGTTTTGGAGCTTCAGGGTCAAGGCTTCTAGGGCAGCCCAGGGCGGCACAGGAGTGCCTGGATTTCAAAACAAAGAAAACCGAGCGGCAACATCTCGCGCGAAAGTCGCCCTCGCCCCATTTCTCGACGAAGTCCACTAGATGCTGGGATGCGCAGAGCAGCTCGAATCCCTGACGCAAGTCGGGCGTCGAAGCTACAAAACCGAAAGTGTAGAGCACGTTCGGGTGCTAATGTATCCTTGAGTGTTTGGGCTCTTGACAGGTGTTTTATCTGCACTGCCAGTGGGGACTGTAGCGAAATTGTTGTCAATCTCTGCGGGTGTAGTTTAATTACACCATTGCAAGCGATTCTTGCACAAATTCCCCTTGGATCAAGCTTGCTTCTAGCATCTCTGCACAACTACGCACAGGCTAGTACCATGTACACACGGGTGACAGTTCAGGACTCCGTTCAAAGGAAAAGCGCGCAGTGCAACAGTTGAAAAGCTTGATCGCAAGAATTTGCCAAGGACACTGCAAGACTCCTTAAATCCTCACGTGTAACAAGCCAAGCCTAAACACACTTTGGGGTAGCCGCACTCGAGGGTCATCATCGGGGTATCACTGGGCCTTGCATTAAACACTGCTATAGGGACTGGATACTGAAGTGCATAATTCAAAGTCTCGCGGCTGGGACGTTGTTGTTGTTGGAGGTGGTGGCGGGTGGTGGTGGGTGGTGCTGGGTGGTGGTGGATGGTGGTGGGTGGTGCTGGTGGGTGGTGCTGTGGTGGTGGGTGGTAGTGGGTGGTAGTGGGTGGTGGTGGGTGGTGGTGGGTGGTGGTGGGTGGTGGTGGGTTGTGGTGGGTGGTGGTGGGTGGTGGTGGGTGGTGGTGGGTGGTGGTGGGTGGTAGTGGGTGGTGGTGGGTGGTGGTGGCATTGTTGGTGCTGCTGGTGTTGTTGCTGCTGGTGTTGTTGTTGTTGTTGCTGCTTCCTGCTGCTTGCTGCTTGCTGCTACTGCTGCTGCGGTTGCTTCCTCCTCCTCCTCCTGCTCCTGCTCCTGCTCCTGCTGCTGCTGCTGCTTCTGCTGCTGTTGCTGTTGCTGTTGCTGTTGCTGTCGTCGTCGTCGTCGTCGTCGTTCGTCGTTCGTCGTTCGTCGTTCGTCGTTTGTCGTTTGTCGTTTGTCGTTCGTTGTTGTTGCTGTTGCTGTTGCTGTTGCTGTTGCTGCTGTTGCTGTTGCTGTTGTTGTTGTTGTTGTTGTTGGTGGTGGTGGTGGTGGTGGTGGAGGTGGTGGTGGTGGTGGTGGTGGTGTTGTTGATGTTGTTGCTGTTGCTGTGATTTATTGTGGTCGTCGTCGTCCTCGGTGTGGTTGTTGTCATGGTTGTTGTTATGTTTGTTGCTAGCGTTGTTCTTCTGCTTGTTGTTGTGGTTATTTGTTATGGTTGTTGTTATGGATTTTTTTGCTTTCTGTTACGGCTACCGCCAAGGTCATGGTTATGGTCATGGCGATGGTCATGGTTGTGGTCATGCTTGATTATGGTCGATGGCTAGGTTCTGGTTCTGGCTATGGTTATTATGCTTATGATTTGGTTAAGGTTATGGTTATGCTCTCGAAATTTGACTACTACATGTTGGGCAGAAGCCGGCGTACTTGCGCCATGGATGCCGAAGCCCCTGAGACATTGCGCCTGCATTTTTGTTCTCCGTGGAAAAACGCGAGCCTAGGTCAAAGCAACCCGCCGAGATAAGCCAAAAAGAGACTCTCAGCGGCAGTTGTTCTCGCCGTTGTGCAGGTTGAAAGTGCAGCACAGGATGGAGACAGACCAGCCGGCGGAATGGCCGCATTTCAGGCCGAGGGGATCTGCAATCCAGTCCGGGAGTGGGCAGGCCTTGTCGTGCGGTGTCTCGGCGATGCCGCACGCAAGCAAGGCCACGTTGATGCCGAGTTTGCAGCCGCTGGAGCTGCTGCAGCCTAGACTGCCACTCATGCCCGCGCCGGCCCACCACCAGTCCGTGGTACTCCCGACCGCGAAGCCGGTGCTTACGCTGATCCAAGCTGAAGGAATGTAGCCCTTTAGGAGGTCGGCCAAAGGTTCTGTTGCCCCCGCACTGAGGCCTATGTTCCAGGCCACGTTTGTGCCGATACTCCTGCTGTAGCCCGTGTTGATGAAGCGAGAAGTGGCCCCGACGCATTTCAATGCTTCCACAATGACTTCGACCACCTTGACCACGGCTTCTACCAGCTTCTTCCACCACCTTCTTCTTCCTGAGACAGCAGGGCAGGGAGTGGCCATAGTGGACCCAAAGCTTCGCAGCATCATGGAAGCTTGCTTGCACGAAACTATGTTTGTGCGGCAAATGTCGAGCATCGGCAAAAGTAGCTAAGACATAGCTGGAAAGCCCCAATCCTCAAAGTCTCAAAGTGGTTCACAGAATTTGGAAATTACTAAGGCTTCCATGTGATTTGCCAATAATGGTAAACCAAATGGAAACGACTATAGTTTCAAAGAGCGTACGTGCTGCCGAGGGCACTTCGACTTCGTCTTCGTCGACGGCGGCGCCGCCTCCGCCGACCCCAGCCGCTTTTTGCACCTCGTCAGAGCAAAGATATGCATATATACATATATACATGTGTGTGTAATTATGAATTTCTTTACTTATTGCTCTATTCTAAAGGGTTACATGTGACGTGACGAATGGTTTGGGGTTTCAGGGGCTCTTTATAAGGGCTCTTTTTTACGGGATTCTACCAAAGGTCGTTGTAGGTTTTTTCCTACACGGCCTAGCGGGTGGGCAAGTTTGGTGCTCCACACTTTCTCGACTCCGGGGTTTGGCAGATAGCCGAAAGTTGGGGCATGAGCCCAAAAAGCTTAAACCCCTCTCAGGTTTTCAGGGTTTAGGTAGGGTTCAAGGTTTAAAGTTTAGGTGTACAGGGAGCTGGTCGAGTGATCTTGATATTGATGACTCCTGCCACAGCAACCTGGAGGGGATGAACAGAACACAACAGGGGATGACTTTTCTAAGAGAACGTACACTTTGCTGTAGACGCCCATGTTCCTGAAAAGGCAAGGGCTCTTTACAGGCATTTAAGTGGCTCCGGGATTAAAGAAGAATATCGAAAGTCCTAGTCACCTAGTCACTAGCCACTCATTACTGTAATCGTTTCGTACTAGTACTGAACATGTCTGCGGCGGCCTTCACTGTCCTCTTCTTCCATCAGGGTCATGGCCGTGCTGTTTCCGAGGGCAGGAGGCGATTTCTTGCCTGCTGGCAAAGTCTCCACCTGGTCGCCGTCCTCGTCCTCGTTCTCCGCCTCGACGTCATCCAGCATGTCGTGGTCCGCAATCTCGCGGTCTGGGATCTCGTCGTCCCCCTCCTCCCAGCCCTCCACGTCCTGCTGGTCGTCGATCTCTGATGCTTCATCCTCGTGAGGAGGACTCACACCAGATGGGCCCTCGGCCATCTTGTCCGCCAGCTTCTGCCTGTCCACCAAGCGCACGGCGCGCTCCTAGAAATTTCACGCACAGAACCACAATCTGTCATAACCTGTCCACCCGGGTCCTCCGGCAAGGACTGCACGAAAGGAACCACGAACTTCATCAATGCTTCCTCCATTGGGACTCTGAGAGACAAGAAATTCCCTGCGCTCGCGGTACCCTGCTGGTCCTTGCTCCGCGCATGGTAGTCCCTCATGACCGACTCCGAGGACGGCTGCTCCTCGATCCAGGAATCTTTGCAGTGTAGCTGAGATTGCAGCTCAAAGCTCGAAGACTAAACAGTCACATCTCCCTCCCTCTCTCTCTCTCTCTCTCGCTCTCTCTTTTTTATATCTATATATACATAGTATACATAAATATTGTTTTTTTTCAGGGCTAGGATGAGGTTGAAGGTCTGGGGAGCTCAGGGGCCCCAGAGGCGAGGCTCCTGGCCGAAGCGCGCGTACTTCTGCACGAAGCTGAAGTCGTGATGGTGCGTGGAGATGAACCTGTGAGGGCAGGGCCACTCCGACTCCAAATTACCAAAAAATACGAAATACGAACAAAAAAGAAAAGAGCACATTGTGTAGAAGCCTGAATAAGTAGCAATATTATGGTTCAGAGTTCCGAATACAATTACACCGTATACCCCAAAACGCTATTCTAATTTTTACTCGTAAGGCTTCTATATAGTATGCTTGCCTCTGGACGCGGTGCTGCAAGAGGAAGCGGTGGCGGATGTCAGAGTGCAACAGCCCCACCTGCAGCCGTGGCTCAAGGGGCGGAGCATAAGCTATACTTCTTTTAACACCGAACACACTTTAGCCTTGCCTGGTCCGTTTCCAGCAGAGCCAAGCTGTGCCTCGTTCGCATGGATGTTTAGGATTGTTTACATGCTCACTCTGAGACGGCATGAGATCGCTGAGCATCGCTGAGCTGCTGGTGATGCCGGAGGTAGATGTCCCAGTAATTGGTCGGATCGCATCCCAAGGCCTCGGCAGCGCACAGGAAGTTTCTTAAAACCAGGGCTCCACTGCATACACTCCCTACGACCCCAAGCAAGGCACGTTGCACACGCCGCGCCAGTTCATCTGCAACTTCCGGATGGTCTCGTCCATTGAACTGTTCCTCGGTCGGGGATGCCGTTCGGAAGATCTCACATCTAAGCCGAGGCCTCTAAATCCCCATGTCAAACTCTGCCAAGGCCGTCCCAAACGCATGATGTGGGAGTCCAGCACCTGCATCTCGCAACTCGAGGGCTTTGTACTAAGCTTACTGACACCGAACCGTGGGGAAAGCGTGCCTCCTCGGGGCATCTGGACTCCGGACTACAGGCCCTAATTTAAACCCCAAACCCCGCACTTCAAAACCCAAAGCTTTCAAGCCTTGCTACATGTGTGCCTCGTGGCTCGCACGCATGGCGCTGTGCAGCGCTGCAGACATCGCCAACGTTCCCGCCTGCCGGGATCTTGGCCACTATTTTCCGGAATAGCCCGGCGGTGGGTGCCTAACAAAAATGTAGTTGAATAATACCTGACATCATATGACCCACGTTGAGCCCTGTACAACCTTTAGGTGGTGGGATCTCTGAAAGGCCTTCAATTCCAGAAGGGGGGCATGGGGCGCGGCAGCCAGGACTATGAGTCAGCGCTGATCGTGCTGTTGTATGGGACCGCAAAACGCATGGTACAGCCTATTCAGTGCCCCCTCCTTTCCTCCTCGAAGGACAAGCCAGGCCAGGACAGAGGATTATGATGCGTAGGCAGTGAAGGACCAGAAAATCCCTCCGAGCAGCCTTTACCAGGATCTTGTAGGAGGCTTAAGACCGGTCATGCGGGGTCGAAGACCACCCAGGAGCCCCGACTCAAAAGACAATGATAACCCCAGACATGTTTGGGAGTACTGTCCGATGACCTAAGCGGGAGGGGCGGGAGGGGGGAGGGAGGGTGGGGAGGGGCTGGGGGGGGGGGGGGGGGGGGGGGGGAAGGGGGAATTAGCTTTGAGGCTTCTGGCAGAAAATTCCAGCTGGAAAAAAAATGGAAACTCCAGGAGTTTCCCGTTTTCTTTTGCATCAGTAGAAGTGAGTGCAACAATCATCCACTCTCCGCGGTGTCCTTCAGCGCTTCGCCAGCTGAGGAAGAAAGCCTGGGCTGGCCAGACCACGAGCAAAACATCTGCACTCTCTACCATCACAAATGCTCCAGGTCACACGTAGGCTATGGGGACTCATATACATATACATAGTTACATATACATATAACGCAATGGAGAGAGAAAGAGAGCAGGATGCACACTCCAGCTGCATTGCTGTGTGGCTGAGTAGTTGTGTTATCATGATATTCTGCCGTTGTGTTGTTGTATTGTTTTCGTGCGACAGGTTCCTCCAGGTTTAGCTTGTCACGCCTGTCGTTCTTCGGTAAAGCCCTGCAGAACACTTGCAAGGCGCTTTCCCATGTCTACACGGCGTGCTGAACTGTTGAAACTAGACTAACTACTGCAAGCAAAAGTCTTGGAACAAGCATTATCAAAGACGCAAGGGCTTCTCCAAAAACCGGGGCTCGTCACGAACGAGGTAACACACTGTTTGGACACGGCCATACCCAAATGGCTGCAGGGGGATTTACGAGGCAAAAGCCTGAAGCTGTGCTTGAGCTGTCAAATTCGGACTCCAAAAACATGGGGGGAAACAAGCTTACAGTGCATGAAACACCCGACAACGGTTTGCAGACAATGTCGACACATCGGAGGAGTGGAAGCCATGACTATTGTTGGTCAGCTGAACTCAGTAGTTTCTATTTGATGTTCCAATACAATAATGGAAAAGCAAAAGGAAACTACGGTAGTTTCCATTTGATTTTCCATTGCTATACTGTTTCAGGCCAGGGACCCTGATTGCAGGACCGAAACGACCAGAAATCCCATGGAGAAGTGGAACGATGCTTTCATGAGAATTATAGTACTACATAGTCTATAGTAGTAGTATAGTGCTACGGCTTATAATAAATATACCAAGTATAATTCTATATCCCAGCGGCTGCAGAAGTGCTGGTTCGTGAACCGAGCCGTCGCAGGAGTATTCCTTTGCTGTGCATCTCTTGGGATGCAGGGATCAGGGGCTTCCTCTGAGCGGCAGTCCGAACACTCCCTATCTTTCTTTTTGCAGGCTGAGTTATAAGGGCCCAGGGCCCTCCATGGTTGATCTGACAAATTTCAGGTTTCAAGTCGCGAGAGAAACGACACAACAAGTCCTTAACAGAAACCCTCAAAATTATTCTT